TATTGTGTGATATTGTGTGTACACAGTGTGCATCTATATATATATATATTGTATTATATTGTCCATAACATATATTACTATACAAACTGAGAGAGAGAGAGGGAGAGCGCGAAATTTCAGCCTCCTTTCATTGAACGGTGAACCCTTCCAGCTACAAACACCAACCAGGCAAGCCAAGAGCATTTAGAAACAACCATGAAACAACCGATAACTATTGTCACCTGGAGGGTCCCCAACGCTTTAAAAACCAGCACGGGCGAGATCCTGGTCCTCTCTAGAAACCGCGCGGGGAGATGATTGCCAGGTGGACTTGACCATGATTCCATTCTGTATCATTCTGTCCCCAATCCCCAACGCTGAGGGCCTTAGGGGATTGGCCCCGCCAGGAAGCTAAGCGCCGTTCCAAGTCGCACACAGTCTCACTTTGATGCCTATGACGAAAAAGCGGAAATGGATCAAATAAACCCATGACGAGAAAGATTTGGACAATCGGTGCGAGACCAAGCAGCTTTTGTTTGTCAGTGAGTGGATCATGGGAGATCATGGGCTCCTCTACACTCTGACTCACTAACATGGAAGTGGAAAAATGGTCTCTTGTGAAGACTTACATACTTTCCTTTACAAACAGGGTGCCATCTACTTCCATGTGATGTGTTCGTCAGAGTGCACACCCGGCTTCCGAGACCCACATGGCACGGACCCGCGCCCGCCCTGCGCCGCGCCTCATGGCGCAGCGCCTGGGCCCGCCCCACCTGGGCCGAGCCATGCCGAATGCTGCCGCCCTAACACCATCCCGGAACATCATGTAGACATAATATGCATGTAGACGACGCTTAGATGAAAGTAAAGTCCCCCTATTTGGAGTGTAAGACTCTTCATACATTATGGGGGGAGTTTCTTATTCAAGAGTCTACATTACTGGATGGATCTGGGTCATCCCACTCATCAATTTCTTGGGGGAATCCCCCATGGTCGCTCAGCTCATACGTCTTCGCGGTGCACCTGGGCTTTGACCTTTTTCCCCCTTTGAAGGCCTCCCAGCAGTGGACCCACGTCCGGTCCTGGGATCTGGGGGAAGCCCGCTTTAAGCGGAAACATGATTCCTTGACCTTTTCCGCAAGCTATCCATATCTCTCTATATATGTGTGTGATTATGTATGTATATAATATGTTGTTATAGTTATATATATATAACGCTCCCCCCTGGTGGTCTACATCGGGTTCTTCCGCCCGGCCGAGACGCTCCCAAGCCGAGCATGGGCACCTGAGGACCGGAGCGCAGCAGCGCAGCGCAGAGCGGGATGACTTGGGGTGACCAAACACAAAGAATGTACGTATGTATGTATGTATGTATGTATGTATGTATGTATGTATGTTTGCATTACATCTCTTTAGGGGTCCTCATCTTCTAAGGATCATGTTACCAATATATTTTGCCCATGATCTGTTTACCAATACTTCTGGGATGCATACGAGTTGTTGCAATCTCTCTTCTGGGCTCAGAAACGCCTAGAAATCACTCAGAATACACCTGGGAGTTCCTGGAACCGGATGCCAGGATGAAGAGCTGATTCTCACACGCTACACTAGTAAGTTGGGCTTTCTGACGGTGGGAGTGGGATGCCTCACTCCACCACTCTGGCCAAGGAACACCTGGAACGCTTGCCATTCAGCTAAAGCTGAGCCAAAACGCCAACGGCACACATCCTCGCATCCAAATCAACAACTCCCCCCAACCAAAAGGGACCATCTTTGGCCCCCCTGAATCAGCCAGAGCCTCCACCACACCGAGAAACTTCAAGAAACATTTGGAGCTTCCAGGATTTTCAATCACACGTCCCAAACCTGGGTTGAGCCCCAGACCTGTGTTACAGGAAAAAGTAGGCCTTCAAGCATCATACACATCCATCTTCCTCTTCCAACTTCCAGGCCCCTGGGAGTCTTGGACTACATGCCGGCCATCCGTGGCGAAACCGAACTCAGCGAACTCGCTGGCGATCTCAGGAGGCACTGAAGATTCTTGAGGATTCTTTTTCAACCTCCACAGCTCACCGGCTCACTCTCCCTCGCCATCCATGTCGCTCACATGGGCAGCCTCCGAGGAAGCGGAGGAAGAAAAAAGAAAAAGGGCACCCATCCCCAAGAATGAATTGCAAGCAAAAAATTGTCAAAAAGGCTCTGAGTCCCAATAGTGACAATTCATGACAATTCTTCATGCTGAATTCCTCTCTCTCTCTCTCTGCATCACCAACGCACCACCACCACCACCACCACCACCCCGCCTCATCCGCCTCCTCCACCGGTCCCTCTGCCTCCTGCTCCGCCTCTGCCAGCGCCTCCGCGTCCGCGCGGCACGCGCTCTGCTCGGCCACGAGGAGCGTGAGCAGCGGCGCGAGGAGGCCAGCGGCCATCATGAGATACCACCAGAGCTTGGGAGCCACGAACAAGACTCCCAAGGCCCCCACCTTAGGCGCAGCGCACCGGTGCGGTCAAGACGGGGTGACTGTCCGTTAAGTCCGTTGGTCGGTGCCGCGTTCGCAACGAGCAAGGGCCGAAATCTCCCAGAAACGTCTTCTTGATCATGCCCCTGTGGGTTTTTGACCTGGTTGGTACTTCTACCTTGCAGCGCACCTGGTTGGTGCCAAGTCACGAGGGCCGGTAGCGCCACTTGGCCTGTGTGCCTGGGCGTGGGCCAGGACAAATGGCAAACATGGACCGCCATGGATCCTCATTCTGATTGCCCATTCATCTATACTTGATGTGATTCAGTGCGGCCACGCATGGCAGCTACGACTCAGTGAGGCCACGACGAAATGGCCACGACAAACAGTTACTCAATTCATCTTTATTTGATTCAGTGAAATCTCATGACACTCCAGATGATCAGATGGCTCCGCTGCCCAGCGTACGCCTATTCATCCAAAGCTGGGTCACTCAGGCAGAATTGAAGTATAAGTTCTTCAACCAAGCTCCCTTTGGTTCCCACGCTTTCTCTCCTGAGTGGTTCTGCACTCTTTAGCCACATTGCACCTGAACGAAACCTGTGGACCCTTGGGGTGCTGAGAACCACCCGTTTCGGGGCCCTGGCTGCACGGACACCACCCGGCAGAGAAGGAAGCACCTGGGCTTGCAGAAATCAAGTGACCAAGTGCAACAACCCCTTCAGCCTCCTGCTCCAGCCACAGCAAACACTCACAAACGCTCCACTGGAGGCTACTTCAGCACTTGAACGCTTGGAAACACATGATCCTCAGATATCCTCAGTGAGATTGCATGCTGTTGTCTTCTTGGCATTTCGGGTCGAGCGAGAAGATCTATCACTGCTATGGTGCAAAGACCTGACGCAGGTTGCCGCCAGGCTGCACGGGCAGCCCACTCTGTGTTTGGGTGCGACCATTTGCGTGGGCAATTGGCACCAGGCACTAGCACACAATATCCAAATCCCAGCACTACGGAAGGATGGGTTATAAAACGCCGGTGACTGTGTATTTTCTTCCAGTAAGCAGCCTTTCCGTGGTGTTGGTCTAGAGTCTACACCATTGACCCAAACCAAATCATTACGTCGAGTGAGCGCCTCAGTTGGCCAAGCAGAACCCAGTCCTTCGGCTTCTCTGCAGCTAAATCAGGGTGAAATGAAACTACAGCAGTTCAATCACTAGCCAAGCTGCCAAGGGAACTTAGTCTCCTCAAAAGGTAGGGCAAGGTGAGGTTTACTGAGTTGGCTATACAATGCTATTCATGTTCACGTATCATTGTATGTGTCGTTGGCCCAAACTACAACACATTTGGACTTTTGCACTTCAATGATGCGAAAGCCAAATGGTGCCCCTTCTCCACTGAGCGCCCAGGCTGCAGAGAGAGCATCCACAGCAACATCGCCAAAGGCGATAGCAGCCAAACTGATGCAGCCTGCGCTAGGGATCAGCACACTTGGAGCCCAAAACTCCAGACCAACACCTCCCAAGAAAGGGGAATGTAGGACCCCAGGTGGCCTACCCACTGACATGAATCCACCGGTCCAACAAACATCTCAGGCTCCGAAACCGGTGCAATGGTTTCTCTGAAGCAAGGAACGAATTGGTTCAGGCCCAGCTCTGCGGAGTGGGCCGTGTTTCTGCAGCTCTACAACTCTTATGACGAAGCATCGGACTCTTTTTTTCCGATCGCAGGCGGGCTTCTGCATGTTTCTGCAGCCTCGATATAGATTATTAGATCCTTTCATGTGAAAACACGCACCTCCCAACCTTGGCAAACCAACCGCCCGCCGTCCCGTTCCACCAGGACCAACCCGCTGGGTGACGAAACCGCCCGCCTTCTGTGGGGAGTCCCACGCACTTCGGAGCCGGCCTGGGCGCGAGTCGAGCAAGTGTCCAATGAAGCCCCGAGCTCAGTAAGGCTCCCTTGAAAGCAGCACCCCTTGGATGCTCGCAAGCAGCGTTTACTCCGCAAGCATGGTGACCGGGGGGGAACTGCACTCCGAGGTTCTGGAGACTTGTCGGGATCGTGGACGTATATGCTTTAACTTATATACAGCATAAGATAGCTACTGCATCCTGTTTCCAGGTTCCAGAAAGAAACATTGCAGGCCACATTTCTTTCACCAGCATGACCAGTTCGCCCACTAAATCCAAACTCTTGGTTGCTAAGGCTGCTAAGACTCAGTGACAGTGACATCTCAGTCTTTGACTCATGATTCTGCCACAATGTCGTCAAAACCTCCACAAGCCTCGTCTTTGCAAGGCGCCAAAAATTCTTGCCCAAAACCCGCCCCAAACCAAACAACATGTTTTTGTGTTTTTTGGTCGAAGGCGGTCGCCTACGACTGGCCCCAAGCAACATCCCAAAATAAAAAGGCGGGTGGCTGAACCTTCCGGACACGACGGCGACACGCGATGTCTTCAGGCTTGGTCGCTTCGTGGACTGAATGGACTGACCGCGGAAACCGAGGGGTTTCGGGGTCGGTTGAGGGGGTTCGGACGACTCCTGAATGTTCAGTCGTACAAAACACGTTATAAGTTATACAGTTATAACTAACGCACTGACGTTGCAAAGATGGGCAATCACAGTGCTCTTTGGATGCGCAGTGCAAGCATGTGCTTGCGCCGTGGACCCAGTCGTTCGATGTCGTTTGGGAGCTTCCACCGGCCGAGCGGCTCAGATATTCGGCCGCATGCTTCCCCACAGAGTCCTGGGCAGGTTTCGTGCCACGGGACATCACTTCACGACTTCATCTCCCGTCAGCTTGTGCGGAGGTGGCAGTTTCGGTGGCCCAGTGGTTCGATCCAGATTTCGCGAGCCTGCGCAGTCCAAAGGCATGTCAACGATTTGGAGAGGCATGAATGTACTGTAAAATACCCAACAGGACTGCGCAGTCTCACTGCTGTACCCCTTCGCCCTGCGCAGGACGCACCTGCGCCCGATGCACTTCCTGCAGCCCCGCAGTGCACAGGAGCGCGGAGCCTGGCGGAACCGGAGGCCTTTCTTGCTGGAGGAGAACATGCTGAGCCTTGTGACTTCCATGTATACCCTGAGAGTCAAAGACTATAAAAAGAATGGTCAAAGACTATGACCCGAAAGGGAATTTCCTTTACTTCAGCCGGTCAAAATATAGTCTTTGGACTTCTAGGGTTATATATATATAATTACTTCCAAGATTTTGTCGTGTTTGGTGGGAGGTGCCGAAAAGAACACACGCATTCAAAGGATTGAATTGAGAATTCCATAGCATGTCAATTCATCTGGCCGGGGCACTTGTACGCTATAGGACACAACCCAGACAAAAAAAAAAAACGCAGATGGTTCCTCTTTTTGGCCTCTCTCCTTTCTCCACTTTCTGTTCTTCTAGGTCTGTGGACCGCGAAAATCGACATCATCGACTTGCTCCCTCTGAAACAGCTGAAGACCATTGCCTACAGATGCCTACAGTCTGTGTCTCGCTCTTCTTGGCTAATTCCCGTCCTATTCCCCTGGCCGCCTGAGCAAACGGAGTGAAGACCGCAAAGCACCGTGCAGAGACCCACGCTGCTGCCTGGAAACGTCTCCGGCGGAAGACGACAAAACACGCAAAGACGACGGTGCACCGGTACACTCCTTGAAGTCATCATGGAAGTGGCCCCTTGGACATGTCCTCTCCAAAGAGGTGGTGAAACTCCCACCTCATCTGAGTGTTTCAAGGAGCGAGATTTAAGGAAGATACAGGATGTGTCTGGACAATGGACCTCTACTGACCTCTAGTTGGCTGACATCCACAAACAAGGATTCCTTGCAGTTTTTTATGTTTTGGGGGATCTCCCGTACGGTGACCAGAATAGTTGTCGTCCCCAATCTTTGGGAATGGCAGGCGCAACTATATACTATTATGGTTACACTATATAGCTTCTCTGTTTTAATGGTTGATCAAATGGAAGCGGAAAACATCAGAAAACCTTTGAGGGGGCGTCGCTTTCAACGGCCGAATGGTGCTTCCAGCAGCAAAATGTTGAACCAAAAACACAGGTCGAACCTGCAATCTTCGGCACCGTTCAGCAGTGAACCATTAGTGAAGCTAACAACATCGGATGCACTCGGCAGTCCTTCCCCCAAGGATCACCGCCCCAAACCGCCTGTCACGCTCACAGACACCTCCACGAGCGACAACCTCGGCCGCTGCAGAGGCAGGGGCGAAGCAAGACCACCAGCACCACACTGGCCATGCGAGGTGGAAATCGCTCGCCCCACAGTTCGGGGTCCATGATGGTCCGAGTGCGCTGGGCTTCTGACACGACTCCCATCGCTTAAACGCCGACCATCTGAGTTGCCATGGGCTCGGATGGACTAACATACAGCGGCAAACATCGCAAGTGAAGTGGTTGATCAAGATCGTTGTGGTGTTTGAGTCATTGTGAAAGTGGGGTTAGGTGATGGGCATGTGGCCATCCAATTCAAGAAAATAGCAGCCTGGGATCTTATGCAACATGCACCAATATCAAATGTTCAGCTGAAGAATCGGGAGCATGATGATATTGATCTCTTGGTGTTCATCATCTCTCATGGACGTTGGATCTTTCAGCGTATGGTTTTGTAACTGCCTTTGAGCCTGCCAGGTGGTGATGATGATGATGATGATGATGATGATGATGATGCAACACCTCTCTGAATTGCAGTGAGGCTCATTGTGCTCTTTTGCTCACCCCACATCATCCCCAAGAAGTACAATGTGGACAGGAAGTAGGGTAAGTAAGATAGGGGAAGTGTCATCATTGCACATATGACATGCAGCGCAACGCAGTCTGAAAGAGACGTGTCAGCCCCGAATCTCAAGCAAATACATTCTCAAAACAGCCACACGTCGCTCTCGCAATGCCAGCAGCAACTTGGCAGCAGTTTTTGGCAGCTTGAGGATGTGTTACAGTAGTAGGTTTGGCAGATTTAAGCCTTTAAGCAGAAGGCATCAAAATCATGAGCGCCCTTCGGCCCTGTTTGCCTTTTACACCTGCAGTCGATGACGAGACTCAGTGCGACGTAGTTAAGCTCTATATAGCTCGATTGCTATCTGACCTGTTCAAAATTATCGCTCTAAATCGGCGGCTGGCAGCTTCACTGCTTGCTGACCTCCTCAAAATTCTCGCCTCAGTATGAGACAGTGAGGGGCCGCGCCCAGCTGCAAGTTGCAAGGTCCTGGAAACCTGGATCAAAATTTAGCTGGTGCAGGCCGACGTGAGAAAATCTATAGAATATTTGACCGGCACTATTCCCAAGGTTGGTGGCTTATATATGCCTCCCCATCCCAAATATGGTTGACGATGTTTCCCCCAAATATCCAAAAGACATCTTGGGGTGCCAGTGCCGTCTCTTGGGGTGTGAGACAACTCGAGAAGCAGTTCCAGTGCCGGGGCCCGAGCCAATGTCCGGGATGTCATCACCTGCTAAAGTCGAATGTTGAGGCTGTGCATGATCCGACTTTCCCCCGGAAGGCATCGACTCACCAGAAGAGGAATGGCTGTTTGTGCTGGCAAGAAAGGCTTTGACCTCCTGATCTTCCAAACAGTCCACCACTTCAAAGCTAGCCTAGCGTTGCCTAGGCGGGCTCTGGGTCAGGGTGGAATCTCCCACGTCTGGCCGAAAGAAACCCACCGGACTAGCCTCGGATTCCCCTCTCCTCCTCAGCCCCGGCAGCCCGTGCCTCCTGCTTCCTGCGGTGCAGAACGGAAGCCTGGCCGGGGTTTCTCGGGGCAGGCGCCGGATTCCGGCGGAGGAATCCGGCGGAAAGGTGCCGGGAGTGAAAGTCCAAAGTCCAATCGAAGTGGATGTAGGAATATCATGGATGTAGGAATATGCCGAATGTGATCTCCTTGTTCCAAGGATGAGCTCCTCGGCGAGTTCGCGTCTCGCGGAACTCTACTTGGAAGGCACTGGAAAAGGTGAGGATGAACTAACCCCCGAAATTGGCCAGGCTCACTAATTCAACTCACGTTCTGGGAAGTTGAAGTGCGCTGATGCCATCGTCTACATTGCCAGGGACAGGACCCTGTTGATATGTTCCTAACATCCAGTTCGGAGTAGGCCGTTAGGCTTCAACACATGCATTCCCATCCAGCACGTGCCATCCGCCTTCAGCGATTCTTCTCAAGTTCATCAAGTTGTCGGCTCCCAGCCTAGTTCGCTTCGCCAGGACTCGCTTTCTCCCGGTGTTTGGACCCGAGTCACGCGGTCCCCGGCGAGTTAGGGACCGAAGCAACGTGTAGCAGCTTCCGGGGTCGGTCCGGGTCAGGATGAAGGATTGAAGGGTCAGGAAAACTCATGGAGCGAACGCAAAGAACCGGGATCTGCAGGACTCAGTACAGGTGATAAAGGGATGAATCTGAAATGGAACACGTCCAAATTGGTCAAAAACGGGCCATGTCCATTCACACATGAACAATGTGTCCTCTATGCAAACCGCATGCCGCCTAGGGTACAGACATCAAGATGTTTAACATGATGTTTTTGCAAGTCATGTCTTCAAAATGCTTCAAAACTGACACTTGTTCAACACTCTGGGGTGGACATACTTTTGGATTCTAGATCTGTGTTCCTCTTTCTGTCCGATGGCATTCGCACTTGACATGGACTGCATCCATGGGGTGCATCTGTTTGTGGCCAGGCGGCTGATTGATGATTCCGGGCAAAAGCTCCTCTAAGCGCTTGTTCTCGGGCTGGCCACTGATGACCTGACGAAAATGCTGGCTATTATGATCAATCAGCTATCACTCCACTCCTGGTAGTGACGAATCTGTGAGAATTCACATGGTTGGCACAACAGAGATGTACCAAGAACTTTGGTACATGTCCCATTGCCAGTAACGGTGCGGAATCTAGGGGGGGTTGCGACCGTCGTGGAAGCTCTCCTGCCTAGAAACCCTTTTACCACAGGCCATGCAGCTCAAGCGCTGTACAAGCATGAAACGGCAGCGGCGGATCTCAAGCCTGCCAAGCGAACATGCCGAAACCAATGGGGCTCAAATCTGTGAATCACATTCCTCAACATTCTTTCTTGGTTTCGGCGTCGCGGCCTGAAAGAAGGAGATCAGCCGGAACGCCCTTCGGGTCAGCTTCTCCTGGTGACTCGTCATGTCACGGAGATCCGCTCGCTCTTCAAGGATTCGCCAGACCGGCAAGCCCTTGGCATCTTTGAATTCAGCCACCACCGTCCTCAAAGGGAACTGCTGGATGGCAAAGCGTGGGCTCGGGCTACGCGTGCTCATTGCATGCTGTGCTGCATGCACACCGATGTTGTCGGTGAAATGCCACCCGGGAGCTTCTCCAAACTCCCTCACATAGCGCAGCAGTGCGCTGTCAGCCACCGTCGGTTCTCGGCCGGGAAGCTCAGCCGTCTCGATCTTCTGGCTCTCCTCCAGCTTCTTCTTGGCCTTCTTGGATACCTGGCGCACAAAGTCAGGGCTGTACTCGATGCTCCAAGTTCCTTTGGCGATGGTCTGCTTGAGGTGGGCGGCATCCATCACCTTGGTTCCAGCGTCGACGAACATGTTTGAGGTAGCTGTCCACCTGAACGTCGTTTGAGGCCGTCGAAGCTGTTGGCGAAGATTGGCCACCGTGAACATCAGTGACTTCTGCGTGCCAAATCCAGTGTCTTGAGTGATGCGATCGTACACATCTTTCGCATCAGTGACTCCCACCAGCGGCACCCTGGTGATCTGGATGTAGGCGTCCTTGCCCGTGATGTCGATGCCTCTTGCCTCGGCGAGGAATCCTCGAATCAGCTCTGCGCAATCCATCCCCTCCTCAGCTCCCATGGCCTCTGCAGCGTACGAAGACCTGCAGACCCGCGGAATGCGGTGTGAGCGGAAGTCCAAGACATTGAACTTGCCAGCGCCGCCCGCCATGAGCTGGGGATCTGCCATCATGATGATGTAGCAGGATTGCGAATGCAGGCGCTCGTCAGGTTGCCCGGTCACGGAGCCATCCTCCTTGACGTTGCCAAGAGCAGCGTCCGACACCATCATGATGCCAGACTCCTGGAGCGGCAGGCTCCTGAAGCGAAGCTCGAAGTCTGCATCCTTCTTGGCCTCGGTGAGAGCTTTGTTGGCGCGCAACAGCGTTCCCACTGTCGGGGGATTTTCTCCCTGGAGGCTGCTGACATGGAATGCCAGATCGAACCTGACCTGAGCCACCAACCACTGCAGTGATCCCAAGATGCCTTTCAGCTTCTTTATCTCCTGGGGTGTCAGCAAGGAGCTCAGCTCTTGCCTTCGGCTTCTTGGCACCACCACCGGCGTGAGCTGCTGATGGTAGGTCTTCATCGAAATGACGATGTCCCCGGTGTTGGGATCCCTCTCAATCCTCTTGCCACACCAGGTGAAAGCTTCAGCTTCAATGCTGCCAAAGCCCAAGACCTTTCCCAAAGCTTCGAGACTTTCCAAAGCCTCTCCATCCCCTGCAAAGAGTAGGTCATCAACGTGTCCAACCACCACTCCACAGAGCTCCTTGTCATTCTCCGGGATGTAGGTAGACCCGTTGGCATTCTGGTCCTTCTGCGCGTCCTTCTGCTTCTTGTCATTCTTCCGCCAGAAGTACCACAGTGCACCATCCAAGGTAGACCTCGTCCAGCCATGGTTCTTCATCTCCCTGTCCAGTCTCAGCCACCATTCTCGTGGTGCATCTGCCAGACCGAAGATGCCCTTCAGGACCTTTGCCACAGCTCCCTTGGGAATAGGGATGCTTGGTCCCTTGCTGCCATCTGTTCCTGTCATGTACAGGATGCGCTGAACATAGGGGTCTCCCTTCAGGAAAGCTGCTCGAACGTCAGCTCCTCGAAGAAACCAGCTTGGATGACAGGCCGCGAGGCTGAAGAGAACGTGTTGGGCTTGTCGGCTGCCCGTCGGTGCATCTCTTCGTAGTTGTCCTCGGAGGTTCTCCAAGTCACGAAAGCCTGGAACCACGATCCTTGCGGATGCCTTGAGCGGCAGCTGATTGGTCGGGGTGCGATGGGCTGAGTTCTTGTCAGTGAGCACGAACCGTGGTGTCAGCACTCTGGCCAATTCTCCTCGTCGTTCCAGATCTTGTAGCACCGCCCGGCTCTCGTCCAAGCTTAAGATCTTCAGTGCTCCATTCTCCATCCATTTGTCCCATTGCTCTCCAGCTGCTTCTCGAAATTTTGCTCGATCTTCTTCACTCAAGCGACTCCAGATGATCTCCTTGTGACCACCTGTCTGCAAGACCTCATGACTCGGTAGAGCACCACCAGGAGGTATTGTCATGTTGCCTGTCTCTAGGGCCTCAAAGATCGTGCGGGACAGCAAAGACCATCTTCCATCCCAGCTGCCATGATCCTCAAGCTCGATCTTGCCCTGCTCCAAGTCTCGTTGCGCTCCTTGGACTGCACGAAGAAGTGGGTGTATCACGCTGTCCTGCTCGGCCAGCATGACGTCGATGCTCTTCCCACCCAGCATGATAGGCGTAAATGCCCTTCTCTTTGGACTTGACTCCACAGCACCTTCTGACAAAGCTCGCCTCACTGCAGCTTGTCCACGTTCAAGGCGAAGCCCACGTTGAGGTTCTGCGTCTCCCACGATAGAGCTCGGAAGTGATGTAGAGGTGTTCTGAGGCGGATTCACTGAAGATGGATGGCTCATTGCCACCGGAGGCGTCTCACCCACATTCTGGAAGGGGTCTGAACTCACAGCTGGGGCTTTCGACTCAGGTGCCTCAGCTCCTTGAAGCTCTTCACCAGCTCGTTCAGGTACAGCCGGAAGTGAATGCTCCATCTTGTTCTCCTCCATGCCCACTGCTGAAGATCTCCTCGATGAAAATCTGGATGTAGAGAGCTTGTCACTCTGCCCACCAGAAACCATACGCATCCTTGGAATCAGCTCTTTCCCAGAAAAGGGGTATGGGAAGCTTGGCTGACCTGACTGGGACGAAGTGCCAGTCGCCGGATTCTGATGCTCAGGCAGGGCTCTCATCTCATCTCCTCCTCCATCAGGATCATCATCTTGATCTTCATCAGATTCTCCATCTTCATCGCCATCATCCCCATCAGGCTGCTCATCCTCGGGCTTGTCAGGAGTCTCGGACGCGGCAATCACCTCGTCCAGCCAAGTCCTTCCACTCAGTGCTCGCTAACCTTTCCAAGGTCGTCGCATGTCTCAGGTGCTGCATAGCACACTTGGTCAGATTGCCCCTGTAAGTGACATAGGCTGCTGTAGGCGTCTGTCCACCCTCGATGGCCACCACGATGGAAGGTCCATGCCATTGGCGTAGGAGCACCTTCTTCCGCTTCGTGCCACGCGTGGTCACCGGCTTCTGCTCTCGGTAGAAGTAGACAATGTCCCCAGTTTGGAACTTGTCCCAGCCTGTCGCCCTTCTCGCACGGGCAAACTCTGCTTTCCTCAGCGACTGCGAGTACTTCATCCTCACCAATGCCACACGAGCAGCTTCCTTCATAGCTGCCACTCGAGCCATAGTTGGGACATTCTCAATGAGGGAGTGCTGCGCCAAGCGAAGCTTCATGTCATTCGGGATGACTTCCTCAGCGGTCCTTGGCTGCTTGCCCAAAACAAACTGAGCAGGGCTGTAGCCAGCGTCTCCAATGTCCTGATTAACCGCCGAAACTGCATGAGCTAGCGCAGCTGTCATGTCATCTCTTCCAATCAATGAGAACTGTCGGGTCAAAGTTCCCATCATCACCTTGAGTGAGCCTCCAGCTCTCTCCGCCAGACCGTTGGCCCAAGGCGATTCCACTGGTATGTGGTAGAGCAAGATGTCGTGGAAATCCATGCAGCTTTGCATCTTGTCAGACGTAAATTCTGGGCCGCAATCGGAGACCACAACTTTTGGCGTCCCCAAAGTTGGAATCCACATGCCATTGAAGAAGCGGACAACTTCATCAGCTGATTTGGCCTCCATCAGGGTCGCGACCTGATAGCCTGAAGCTGCATCAATGCCATGCATCACCCAAAAGGTGTTGTCCAGAGCATCCTTGATCGCCACCAAGTCCACATGCATCTGGTCGCCAAACTGGCGAGGCTTGGGTAGTGCTGCTGGCATGTGTGCTGCTGGCTTTCTCACCTCAGCACATGCATCACACTTCAGCTCCTTCGCCGCCTTCACAGTCTCAGGCGACGCTCCAGCGATCAACAGTGCCTTGGCAAGCCTCAGAGGACTCCGATGGCCAGTGTTGACGTGCAAGCGCATCACTGCTTGTCTATGGGCTGAAGTGATTTCTCCTGCATCGCTCACATCCACATCGTCAATCACGTCATAGTCTTCCTCAAAGACGTTCGGCTTGATCTCGGCCACCTCCTCATTCTCATCGATGGTGTCCATGGCATTGATCTCGAAGACCTGGTCAAACAACTGGTTGCCGTCAGCCACGAACTGCTCCTCAAGGGCCTTCACAATCTCCCTGGCGAAGCGAGGAGGGTAGTGTCCAGCTGGTTCTGTGACACCTGAACCACCGATGACTGGCTCATGTTCATGGGTTCCATCACACACGAAGTTGCACATCCTCTGAGCCACAATCTCTGATGAAGTAAGTAGCCAAGTTCTCTTCCGATGAAGCCCACCTCGCGGACCACGAAGACCCAACATGCACTGGTCCACTTGACACAAAAATGTCCTGGGGTCTTGTGCCAGTGACTGCAACTCTTCACATTCCTGCCAGGCTGCTGATCTGCCCGGGTTCTCAATCAGAAAATGCCTGCCAGCATTCATCTGAAGTCTGGCTACCCTTACCGCAAAGCGCACCAAACGCCGATGTCGCCACCTTCTCCATCTGAGCAACTTGAACTGGCGCTCATCCTTCTTGCGGAGGTTCTGCAATGGCGACCATGGCCCACACGGAAAGGCCAAGATCTCGCAGTAGGGCTTCTCACCGTCGATTTCCTCCAAGGCGGCTTTCTGGGCTCGACCCAAGAAGAAGTCGTACCCGGTGGACAGACTCAGACTCTTCATGGTATGGTGTCCGCGAAGTTCAGCTTGTCGTTTCACCGGCTCTGTGTCAGTGAAGGTCTCACCCACCAAGGGTTGTGGTGCCCTCACATCCTGAATCAAAGGTTCTTCAGGAATTGCCAGCTCGCCGATGAAAACTTCTCTGTCTCCGGAGGTGATCTCGATGTTCTCTTCCAAGTGGAGGGTCTCCAGGACCTCAGCAACTTCACACTCCGAGATGTCCAAAGCGGAGGCCATCCTCCGTAGTTTCCGGAAGCCCTGATTAATAGTCAAACGCAATCCAGGCTTCAATTTCCTGAATTTCGATGATTTCACCTTCCCAATGCTCTTCCTCACGGCCTTTCGACACTCCATCGCCGTGACACAGCTCTCAGGACCTGGAAGGTCACTCCCCCACATCCAGTTCATGGGAAGAACTCTTCCTCGGCCTCCATGGGATAGCATAGGCGACTCGCTCCGCTCGTCTCGCTCAGCTGACCCCACTCGGAGCCTTCCGCTTCTACTTCCGCTCGAAGTTGAGCGATGCCGTCCTCGTCGAGACCATAGGGGGGCTCCTCCTCCTTGTCCAGGGCGTGGTACTGCGGAAGCTGCTGCAGAGGAAGGCGACCTTGAGTCTGGTACCCGGAAGTTCCGGAATTCCCTGCTGAAGCCTGTGCCAGACCTTTGATAGCCGGAACCGAGTTCTGTGCCATCTGTCGTTCCGTTTGAGTCTGTGGGACTAGTCTGGACAACCAAGACTTCTTGGATATCTCCGTCTCCTTCACTGGAGCGTTCGACTGATCGTTCGGGGCCTGAGTCCACTCGGCTGTGCCCATAAGAGCTTGAACGGGGCCGGTCAGCTTGGTCCTCAAGGTCGATACTGTGTCGTCGGCCGCCACCGTCACGTTGAGCAGAACGGCCGCCTTGATCAGCTCGTCCTTCAAGCGTGGCAAACCTCCACGAGGACCGATGAGGGCGCGAAGCTGCATGACCTTCTCCTCCTTCTTCAAGTCCTTCAGGCGAAGGGTCTCGTTCACCACGGCCTCCTGGATCTTCTTCTTGGACTTCTTCCCCATGAGGTTCTTGATCCCAAACTGAACTGCATCGTCCTCGATGAAGCCCATCATCAAACCCAGGCGCTGCCGCAGGTAGATGCATTCCTTCAGGTGCAGGAGGTTGTAGGCATCTTTCTTCACCGCTTCTTGATGCCACTTCAAAGGCCAAGTGCCTCGCTTCACCATGTCGTTCCCCTGCTCCAGCCAGCCTCGCTCCGAAGATATTGAAGGGAGCGGAAGAGGTAGGCCCCTCAGGAAGGGCCGCTGGACTATCCACAAGAGGAGACCCTTGAAACTCCACATCCTCTTGTGGTGAAGTCTGGTCACAATCCGGTTCCATCGCAAAGCGGCTCGCTGCAATGGCTTCAACAAGCCCGCCGACAGGGTAAGGGCAGAGTCCATCACTGTCAGCTTGAAGGCGAGGTGCCAAAAGCTCCGGCACGAAGTGTTCAATCACCTGTGTCTCATGGCCTGAACTGTCACCTGTCCAGGCTCGTTTCAACTTCTTCAACATCCACTGCATGCGAGTCTCCGACTGGACCTCACAGACCTTGCCTCTGCCTATAGCTATCCAAGGCTTCTCAGTCAAGGGAGGCCACTGACTCAAAGGTGTTGGCAAAAACGAGATCGACGAATGGCCAGCGTTCATGCGAGAAAGACGAACCCAGTGATCTGGAGCAAGAAGTTGGAATTGAACCCTGTTGGACAGAAAATCATGCAAAGCTCCAAGGGCGTCCAAAGCATCCTTGCCCACCAAACACCCAAGTGAGGGACATGGAACATTTGAAACCCACAGCAAAACCACTCGACCAGCGATGAGGAAAGGCAGTCGGATCCGTTCACTGCTTCGAAGAACTCCCCCATTCCCGAACCTGAATCGTTCACTCTCAGGCTCCTTCTTGACCAGAGATCTAATGTAGGGGGGTGCATGTAGGAATGCTTCTTCTGCATGTTGAACCCACGAGGAGCCTGCACATGAACGATTGCAGGCTGAATCCAACGCAGCCAAGTACAGTTTGTCCGATGACAAAAGCTCCGGTGAGTTCTTGACGGACAGGACTTCTGCCAATCCAGTCACCACTACATTGCATTCATGGACTGGCTCTTGCTCGTCCACACTGAACAGGACATGAGGCTCGGCCAAAAAGTCCACAATGTTGGCTTCTGAGATCTGTGTTTCACTTGCTTGCTTGCTGCTGCCCTTCTTCAAAGCAGATTGCAGCTTGCCTGAACTCTTGCCCTGGCCTTTCGGTGCACCAGGACATTCAGGATCTCCCTTCCAGTGGCCGCGTTGGTTGCACACAAAGCAAACACCAGTCTTGTTCTTGCCAGTGCCTTTGCCCTTGCCACTGGGAGCTCCGGCTTGCGGTCCACGAAAACCACGGTCCTTTCTCATCGCTGCAATCTGACTCCTGGCCTCCCTCAAGGTGACCAGTGCTTCCACTGCTCCATCCAACTGCTCTTCAAGAGCATCTAGATCTTCACCACTGCACCCTTCTCGTGCAGCGGCTTCCAACTCCGCCGCCATGACCTCAATCTCTTCCTGTAGGGCCAAAAGCGGTTCTCCTTCAGCTCCAGGTTCAGGATCATCAGGTGTCACCTCCTGAACTTCATGCTCCTCAGAAGGTTCCATGCTGTGCTCATCCTCGAACTCCTGCTCCGTTACATTCACAGCGGATGCTCCCAAAGGCATTCGACTACCTCTGGACCAGGAAGACAACGTAGACGTCGAAGTTGAGCCAGAAGCCAAAGAAGACGTTGTAGATCCTCTTCGCCACTGTTGAAGTCTGCCTCCATGATCTTGTCGTTGAAGACCACCAAAAGGCTTTCTCTGGATGCTTGAGGTGTGAGCCAATGGGTTGCCCACTCCATGGATCCGCTTGAAGAGCCTCACTGACTCTCGCTCCACGTCAGCGTAGGCCTCAGTCATGCCAGACAAGGTCGTTTCCAGCATCTGCTTCTGCATTTCCGTCAGGTTGAGCTTCTGCTTGAAGAACCAGGCCACCTCGGCATCATCCAAGGTGATGTTCTCGGCCTTCATCTCAGCCACCAAGTTCCGGTAGCGGAGAGCGAAGTTCACCACCGACTCCACTGGGCCGCGCTTCATGTTCATGTAGTAGCGCTCGCGAAGCTCACCTTTCCGGTCAGAGACCGTGCGTCCCACCATGGAGTCCCAAGCGTCCAAGATCTTCTGGATTCCGGCATCATAGATTGCCGGACTCAGCGTCAGCTTCTCCCCATCATGGTCGGGGTCATCAACCTCTTCAGCTGGGGTGTAGACCAGTTCCTCAGGCTGGAACTCCAAGGCCCTCAGCTTTGCCGCTCCTCGCTGCTTCATGGCGAACCGAGCTGCCAGGTTGAAGTTCTTCGTCTTCTCCAGGTCTATGGAGGTGAGCCACCATTTCACCGTTCGGCGAAACTCCCTAAGGCTGTCAGCCCTTCCATCCCAAACAGGGATTGAAGAGTCAAAGCCACTCTCCGACCATCCACCGGCATAGCCATGCCCGCGGTCATCCTTCGTTGAGGATGCCATAGCCCTTCAAAACCTGCACCAAAACTTCTCGAAGGCGTTCTTCTCCAAAGGGCGTCGTTCTGGTCCTGGTCGTTGGTGTTGTCGTCCAAGTCCTGCTTGTCCAAGTCCTGCTTGTAGGCGAAGTTCTCCAAGGCGCAGAGTCTCGCAGGGGTCGAAATTGCTCGGAGGATCCCTGCGTGCGTGCTGCTGCTGCTGTTGTCGTGCCCTAGCCCCGAAGGGCTCCGCTACCACTGCGGAATCTAGGGGGGTTGCGACCGTCGTGGAAGCTCTCCTGCCTAGAAACCCTTTTACCACAGGCCATGCAGCTCAAGCGCTGTACAAGCATGAAACGGCAGCGGCGGATCTCAAGCCTGCCAAGCGAACATGCCGAAACCAATGGGGCTCAAATCTGTGAATCACAAACGGTATGATGGTTGGTTAGGCTAGTACAGGCCTCTCTTAACAACAAAAATAGTGATAGAGTTTTTTGCTGACTGTTACTGGTCATGGGGACACACCCAACCCAGAACCCGATCAACAAGGCGCTGAAGTCGCTGCCCGACGCGGATGGTCATTGTCAACCACAGGTTTCAGGACCCACGAGCGTTTTACCCACGGTAAAGGGATTGCAGAAAAACACCTCCTCCAACCACATTGCGCATTCCCCTTACTGAATGCCTCAGGCGCCGAATGTTCCAGGCCAACGCGGAAAAGTCTCGACCGCCGAGCGGCATAGGTGTTGGCTCCCACGGCGGCCTGGACCTTGGGGGTGTTGAAATGAAGCACTCCCCCGTCCTCCGTGAACATGTTCACCTCCTCGATGCCTGCGAGCCGGAACGCGAGCCGGGCTCGCGTTCGCGAGCCGGGCGCGGAGGCCGCTGGGCAGCTGGGGCGAGAGAAAAAGATCCAGCTGGGCAGCTGGGCGGAATGACATAACCGTTTATCTGCCAGTGAAATGTAATACTTTAATACTATATACTATATCATATATTAATATATATATATATATACCTAATTATGCACACTATATATATTTTATGCAGGTTGGTATCCGGGGTGCCTCCCAAGAGCATGGAATGATCATATATTATGATCGTTCATAAAATGCAATTCATTAATTTTGAAGGTAGCCTAATGGATAGGCGGGCATTGAACTTCGTGAGAGCCCCACCAACCATGCAAAATGGAGGTATTGACCTTCATCAGAGGCATCCATGGGTTTAGATGAGTTTAGTAATTATGTTGCAATGATGTTTATTCATCGCTCACAAGACCTTTGCCAGCTCCATACTTCCAACCATTGTCCAACGCCCCACACCCGCCCGGAAGAAGGCGCCGCGTGCGTCTTTTGCTTCCAATGACCGTGTGCATCAGATCGGCGCGCATCCACCGCCGGCGGAAGGGCTGCTTTCGGGGGCGCTTGTTCTCGGCGAAGTCCTCGTAGCGCGACTCCATCGCGCGCTCAACGTCATGGATCAGCTTCCACTCGCTGGTGCGCTCCAGCTCAGTGAGGATGCTATACAGCGCCTAGCACAAAATGCCAAAGAAGTTGGATTGGGCATGGCTGGTTGGGCAGTTCGTAGTCTTGATTGACACAGCCACATCATTATCATAGCAGGTCAGGAGTCAGAAAAGCCACTTTCAACTCCTTGTGTCGCCTCCAACTCCTTGTACTGCAGTCGGTCCAGTACATCGCTCAACACCACTTCAAAGGCTTCAAAGACCTTGTCGTCCCGGCAGCCCAGCCGCGCCAAGGACCAACAAAAGCGCACGACTTGCCTGGGGGCGGATGGTTGCCCCGAAAGACGACTTGGCCCTGGGGCCTTTTGCCAATGCACCACAGAGGCCTTGTTATGGCCATATTGTATTTGTAGGTTTTCCCCGGGAAGCTTTGAGTCCAATTGCTGTTAAAAGAGTCATCACTTTGTTGAGTGAAGATGGATCCGTGTCATTCCATGTCCATCATCTATGTCCTCCAATCCTCCCAGTTGTGTAGACTGTTACTGTTAATTAACTTGTATATAACTATATATATGTATATATATATATCTTATATAATATGTGTGCTGTGTGTGCATTTTGTTTCAGCCCTCAGGCCTGAAGAGGCTTTATATACAATCCATGTCTGAGGGGCTTTGATTTATCAACACTTGATCTATGACCACGAAACAGTCAATTTGGATCCGCCCCCCTCTCCCCCTGGCCGGGGCATCAATGCGCAGGGCGCGGCCCGCAAGACCTTCACGGCCGCGCGCTCTGCGGCACGCAGCAGTGAGGTGGATCCACGGCCCGAGTGGATCCGCGCGAGGCCATAGATCAAGCCTCAGAGTCTTTCGGACGTCCGTCCGACCGACCGGTGCGTCGAAGGTGCTTTCGGTTTCGTCGGTTGGTCATGCTCCAGAAGAACGAAGAGGGGTCTTCCGCACCGATAGTTGGTGCATACACAGGATGATACATATACACCCTGGAAGACGATCCCATGGACCCTGAAAACCACTGGTTGGTAGAGGAAAACACTCTTCCAGGGAGCCATTGTCAGGGTCTATGTTAGTTTTCGGGAGTGTAATTTGGGAGGATGTAGGGCCAAGGATTGAACATATCAATATGGAAAACAACATCGATCCTGATCACCACCTAGAAGCGGTAGAGCGGCTCAGGGGGTAGCTGGGACACCTGGGGCGTCAAGTCCCTCGCAAGACCCACAGCCTCGTAGAGCAGCTCCTGACCAAGCAGGTCTTGGAGGGCTGGGAGGTGTTGGGGGGACCTGCCTTGCTTACAGTACTTTTAAGACCTGTTGAGACAGAGGTTAGTAGTGAGGAAGGATCCATGACAGATTTAAAAGACTTCAACCTGGGTTCTTGGGCCCTTGAAGGCCCTCCCCTCAACTGAAATTCTCCAAAGGGATCCCCATGTCTCGCGTCCTTCGATGGGCTCGGCACCGCAGACGCGGCCCACACCGCCTCCGCCAACTGCGGAGCCTCCAGCTCCTGCCGCTGCTGGAGCACCAGCGGCCAAGCAAACACGGCACCCTGGCGGCAGCGGAGCTCGGCGAAGATCGTCAGAGCGCGGTGCGCCGTTGCGGCCTGGCCGGTCGCAGGGCCACAAGAAAGGCGTGTCAAGGCCTCCTCCACCTTCCGCAGGAAGGCACGGAGGTCGCCACCGCTGATGGGCATCTTGCGGAGCTCCTGCTGAACAGCAGGGTATAGTCGTTGGGTGTTTGGTGGAGTTGTTCCCACCCAACTGGTGCCGCTCATAGTTGTCAATCAAACCGGCAGCGATCTGAGAGTCCATACCTATAATAGACTCTAGGCACCACTCTAAACATCTCTAAACACTATGGCCCTAACCACTATCAACCAACTCAGCCCCGCCTTGAGGCGCCCCAAAAAGCAGTGCAAGTCAGCGTCGGTGAGGGGCAGCTGAGTCGCTGCTCCCACGCGCAGCACCTGCTGTCCATCCACACAGCGCATCAGCTCCGGTTCCAACAACGATGCCCGGGCAGCTTGCGCCGCGATGGGGCGGATCGCGATGCGGCTGAGCAAGCCAGTGCTCCGAAGCCATGGCATGCCAGGAGTCCGAAAAGGGTTGTTGTTAATGCCAATTGTTAAGTAAGTGGACCATGCTCACCCCGGGGCCTCACCCAAGACCATCCCAACATGGAACTGTGGTAGTGGGAAGCAACTGAGTTTCAGCATGATGCGATGTGGTCGCCTCATATACATTCCGATGGTGGTTGCCTTCGATGGAAGGCATGGGCGGTTGGCATACGGCATACCCATCTTCCAGATGCAGGGTCAACTCCTCCGAATCTGGTGGAGTTGTCAGATCTTGTTCTGCGGTGTTTGCGTGGCCCTAAGCAAGATGGATTTGAGAGAGCCGAGAACCCATGCGATCATTAAAGGATGTCATATCTACTGTAATCATCCACACGGCCAAGTTCAGCAGAACCATGGGCAGTGCTTTGATATTGATTAAATGGCTCCTCCTCAATCCTCTCTCCTTCCTAAAGTCCGAAGGTTCAGCTTGAGCCATGGCAAATCCATACATGCCACGCTTATATATAGTATTATGCATTGACTGACTCGGAAACTCTATTCTACCCTACCCTACACATCCTACACCCAAAAGCTAACCAAAGTTTCGTGGAAACAACTCAGTTTGTCGAGCACAATGGTCAAACCAAGACGGCCCTCTCTTCTTCTTCTTCTTCTTCTTCTTCTTCTTCCTCTTCCTCTTCCTCTTCCTCTTCCTCTTCCTCTTCTTCTTTTTCGTCCTCTTCTTTCACAATTGTGCAGATGTCCATGCGGAAAGCACGCCCGCAACGCGCAAACGCGCCCGCGCAACGGCTGACTGCGCCCGTGCCCTGCAGGCTGCACCTGGGATGTTGTTGAGGCCCAAACGCTTCAGATGGGCTTGGAGCTGCTTCTCATCCGCAGAGCTGGCCTGATGCTTCACCATCTTTCGGCCTTGTGCACGAGGGATCAAGTGAGGGGCAGTCAGATTCGCACAGAATGTTCGTAGATTCATGGTCAGCCACTGATCATTACTATACACAAGAACATACAACAACAATCGTAACAATGTACCAAATGTGCTTGTGTTATCTAGGTTGGTGTGCTTGGTGTCCGATTATTTTCAATTCGACCATCATGAAGTGGTTGCACAGTTGCACCCTTCGGTGGCTCGCGATGAAAAACAAGTTCTCGACTCGTAGACTCTTGATAATTTAAACAACCCATTAATCCATTAAAATCACTATAGCGTCTAATACCAATCCATTTAGTCATTAGACTCTAATCTATGATTAACTGGAGATTTAAAAGAACTCCTACTGTACAAAATCATTTGGTCTTACAATCCAAATGACTGGTGTTTATTCATCAAGAGTCTCTTGGAACTCCAAACGCCCCTCGACCTTCACTCCCGCAAGGTCTGACGTCGCCCGCTCAGCTCATCCAACGATGACATGCACCGCCCCCGAAAGCGATGTCAGTGATGTGATGAATGTTTTGGAGGCCTGTGCCTATGGTCTACTCCCAACCATCCTCCAACTTTAGGACACATGGAATCAAAACTCACCCTTACTTAAGCCTCCCAAACCCAAAAACCAGCCTCCACTGCTCATCCAGCCATCTACAGCCCATCCAGTCACATCCCACTCCTCCCGTGGGTCCCGACGTCGGGTGGTTCCCTTGCCGCCAGTGCGGACGGCATCGAACTTCTGTGCCAACTTCGCCCGTGCTGCGAGCACCGCCTGACCCGCGGGCTCGCACCCGGCGAGAGCGAGTTCCGCCACGCGATCACGCCCAAGCGGACGGACGTTCGGTCGAAATCAAAGGGGTTTCACATGGGGTGTTGAATGGGTCAATGGTCTCAAGCATCGTAGTGAGCAAACATGAAACATCGCGCATTTGCCACCACTCCGGCCTCAGACTGGTTCATGATTCACAAATAGCCTCGCCTCAAGACACATGATGCAGAATTGGTCTTGGGAGACTGACACGGCTAGATTCCTTGCTCATGTCACATGTCACGGTTTTGATCGTCTTAGATTTGGCCTTTTGGTGGGGGCACGCGGCAGCGGGGAAGGTAGTGCTTTGAGAATAGATGACACAACCTTCCGTGTTGGACACGGCCAATTGCCCTGCCGTTGGCATCCAAGGAAATGATTCATGTCCCACCCCAAACCTCCAGTGGAGGCAAGTTCACATAAAACCATGCAGTTTGGGCCGTGTGCTTCCATCTGCACAATACCACATTATCAAAAACCGGATGCACCTTCTCTTGCCGGACCTGGCTTCCAAAAGCACATGTATAGGCCAGGAGTGCCATGTCGGGCCAAACTTGGAGAGTAGGGATGCCCCTGTCACATCCACTCCCTGGAAAAGATCTTTAACTTTAAACCACTGGAACTTCTGGTGCTACTCCTGGTATAGTTCATCTATGTTCACTTGCACCCCATGGCCACATCCAACCGAGTGGCCAGTGGCGCTGCAACAAAGGGTGCACTGAAAAGGCTGCGGGTGTTGGGCGCCAGGTTTTGAGCCGTGAAGCGATCCATCTGAATGTGGGAGAGACTGCCTGCACTTGGTGGTGCTGCCAGGAGCGCCCAATGCGGATGAAAGGCGTCCAAGTTCTCAAACGGATTTTGGTCCTCCTGAAGGGCCAGGACAAAACGGTATGGAGGTTCCTTGGTTCCTGGTCATGGCGAGCGCCGGCTGTTTTATCGGGCGTGCGGCGCAAAACCTCACATGGACCTAGTTAGGTAGCTTCTAGTTACTGTAGTTCAGTACCTCCTAAAAGCTGCACCCTGACCGCAATTGCACCAGCATTAAATTTGAAGAGTCCAACAAACATATCGGGTTAAGACGGTTAAGAGTCACGCATCTGGGCCCCCAACTGCCCCAGCTCCAACCATCCGCGCCCTTTCCTCGAACCGGGCGGATCTTCGGCCGCGGACGAGTGATGACGAGTGACTAGAACCGCCTCTCCAAAGACTCACACGCGTCCCATCCAAGGGCTTTCACCCAAACGTCCTGTAGCACATCATGTCAAACCCCATCAGCTGTTTTTGCTGGAACATCGAGGTTGTGACGAAACCAATCCCACAAGAGGTTTAAGTTAAAGTTTATCCACTGACGTGGTAGACAAACAAAATGCTTGGCTTCCCGTCTCACACCTGCCCTCATCTGCCTCACCTTCGGTAGGTTGGCGGGCTGTGGCCTGTGACCAGTTGCCACTACACCTCCAATCTTTGAATGCCACTTCGCTTCTAGTAGTGGTAACTGGATGCACTGCACAGGAGTTAGGCTTCCAAGCCCATGGCTGATTACCACATCCGCAGTGAAACTAGCCCTCTTGGCCCCTCGGCTGCCAAACACGCGCCAAGCTGTGCATGGTCCCAGTGCAAGTAGCTATGAAACCATGGGAACATGATATTGAATTTGTATCCAACATCTGCCCTTCCTGCCGTTCCGCTTCAAAAGAATCTAGAAAAAGGTGGTATCACGTCCTGTAGGCATGCCCCAGCAAGGTAACTCACGCGATAGCCCATCGCAAGAAAAAGCTAGCCGCTAGCCACAAAAAACATGCAAACAATTATGTGTATATATATATATAGGCAAGGCCATTGGAGTGTTCAGGCCTTTTGTGGGCAAGGCTCACTAGCTAGGAACCCGTTTGGAGGGCCACACCAGCAGTTCGTGAGGTGACCCATTCTCAAAATCCATGGCAGATCATGGCTCAACCACATATATGGCACTTTCAAACAAATGTCCTTATTCTGGTTCTCATCGATCATGATTGTCCACAACCGAATCTATTCATACCAGCACAAGTTGTCCATACCAGTCCCTATCTTTTGGTTTGTTCAGGGTCCTCATCTCGAGCCTCAGCACCTCCAACTAGCAATGCGAGGTGGTGGAGTCATGACCTTCTTGCGCTTGCGCAATCCTACAACCTCCAGTGGCAGCTTTGGCCAAGGAGAATAAGCTATGAGCATGTTTGTGTGAGATCTCCTGCACCCAAAAGCCTGGGTGAGAAGAAGCATGCTCCAAATCAACCAGGTACGGCGAACGGTTACAGTATCTGTTTCTGCGTTAACGCCCAAACATAAACCATCTGGAGAACCTTGCGGATCTTCATATAAAGGTAGAAAGGTGTAAAATGTCGTGATTTCGGGCATGGTACTGCATGTGTTTAAGTCGTTCCCAGCCATTAACTTCCCTAAGTTCAAGAACACCATTGAGGCCAATGTCGTCGTTGCAAAAGCCCGCGAGCCAGACTAGCAACTAACTAACCAAGCAACCTACGAAATGGCACTTGCACCACAAAGCTTGGTAAGGAAACCATAGTGACTATAGAGAGAGAGAGAGAGAGAGTTATACGGTACGCAAAGGTGCCCCTGCCTGTGGCCTTCGGGCAGCATACTCCTATTGAATGCCCAAGCCCTTCCAACATATACAGCAGATGCACCAAATCATCGCACAATCAACCAAATATCCGCCAATGCCAATACCACCAGCTTCTTCTGTTTCCATGTGCTTCCATGCAAGAGTTCTGGTTGTGTGGCATGCTCCTCCCTTGGCCGTGGGACATGGCATGAGGGCCTCTCACAGCTTCTCATCAAAAAGAGGGACAATGCGCTCTCTTGCGCCGTCAAACCTCAGCCCAGGTGCTTCAAGGTGCTTAAGGAGAACGGATTCTATTTGGGAATTCGATTTTGTGTTGAGACTATTTTTGTGCAAGGATATCCAAGGAACAGGAAAGGAAATTGCAAGGTAGTCGGAACAAACACTCATGCAGGGGCGTGGCGCCTTGAAAGTCAGATTTTGTGGCACACGAAAAGGGTGAGTCGCGGGGAGGGCGCAGCGCTTCTCACGCAAAGACCACACAAATCGTGAAAGAAAAGGAAAAGAAAGCAAGCTTCTCTCGCTTCTCTGCTCGAAGTTTTGCCGTCGGATGTCCCCACGTTAGAATGGCTCTCCCCAATTCTAAAGTTTACCCTCGGGTTGGTTGTCCTTCTTTGTTTGCTCCTTCTTCCTTCCTTCCTTGACTTGGCTACCCACCTGGAAAACGACACATTATATCATACAAAAGACATGAAAAGACCTTGCCCTCCATCCGTTTCACCCTCCACCTGATCGACACGACAAAGCCGGCGAAAACCCGTGCAGGAAAAGGAAGCTGCGGGATCTGCCGCCTGGATCTGCCTTCATTGCTCGACTTGGTGTTTCAATGCCAATAACCGACTGACCCCTCTCAATGCTCCGGACTCCAGTCCAAATCCAACTCCGAAGCCGAAGCCTGCACGCACGCTGACCGGAGTCGTGGTTTTTCTCAACTGCTCCTGGTAGAAATGCCTTATGTTTGTTTGTTGAGCGGGGGGCCAGCCGTTGGTGGATGTACTGCACTCTGACTGGAAAGGAATTCGGTCATGCTGCTCATGTTCCAAGCCGAAACCCTAGAATGACCTCCCTGCAAAAAACACAAGCCATCCCACCCCCCCCCACACTTTCCAGGCGTTTCGCGCCGGGGCGCCAATCCTCATGCTGCGCCTGCCAGGTCAGTAGCTCCATGCAGAGCAAGAAGCGCTGCGCCACGATCTCGTCCGCGAACACGAAGACCAGCTTCCGACATCTGCCGCACCCCGCATGCCCGCCGCGCTTTCGGCTCTTCAGGTCCCGAGAAGGTCTGCGTCAATTGGGGTGGAGATGGAGTTAGTTCCCCCGGCCGACAGATTGGGAGTTAGGAGCTGGTAGGGCTTAGCATGTGTGGATGGAAAGTGGACCAAGGCCCGATCTCGATTCGGTATAGACCACGACATGCCAACTTCGCGGTGTTCTATGGCTCTATGGTGCCAACCAAGTAGTCCAGGGTTATGCTTCTATGGTGTTCTTCACTTGCCACGCTTGTTCACAGCTGCGTCGACCGACGAAGTCACGACAAAGCCGCGACGAAGTCGGCCAAGAGGCATGAACTCGATGATGACGATGTGTTCCTCAGTGTTGCTGGTGGCACCCAGGTGCAGATTCTGGCCATGCGATCAGCAGATCAGCGATCAGTGCATATTTCACATCTCTATACACATGATCAAGGCCCAAAAGGTTCATACCAGTATATATAATAGGGGAACCTGTCACAGTTCTGTTGCAACCTCCAACCTCAGTGGGGGATCAACCCATTGGAGAAATTGCATTGTTGTGTAAGAATCTACCAAGGCCCCAACAACCGTGGCTGAAAGGAAAAGTGGAATCTTGTCAATCGGGAGCATCGACATGCGGAGGGTGAGGCCAACCTTAGCATGCCACTTGAAAACACTGTGCGCTCCCTGAAATAATCATCAATCAATAAGTGGAAAATGGCCGCTTGGACTTGGACGACCAGTTTCCTCTACCAACAGGTGGTTGTCCACTTCCATGAGAGTTTGCTGTAGGCACTCCAGAACCATATCCACAAAATCTCAAAAGCCTCTATACTGTACTGATGTCCTCTAGCACATCATCCGTGTCTAAACCCCCTCAGCTTCCCTCAAACAGTATAGGTTATTATCGATCTGTTTTTGTTTGCTGGGGACAGGTCGATGAACAGCATCCCCAAAAGAAGGCATCCAGTTGCTAAAGGTTATCTGCTTTGACTGAGTAGACCCGTAGGCTCCCGTGGTCTCTACATGTCTCTACGCCCGACCGACCGAAGACCGAACCAAACGGCTTCTGAACGGGCTCAAGCGGAGGTACCGTCTCAGGGAAGGAGTAGGAGGTCCGCGGGTGGCAGTCTGCGAGGTTGAACTGGTTGGCACGCTGCTTCCAAATTCCTAGGATGAGCTGGGGTTTGGCTGGGGCGGGGGGTGGTTTTGTGTTACTGCTAGAAAGCGGGTGACCAGGGGTGAAGCGACCACCGATGCGCAGATCAGCGACTTCCATTTTCCAGCCAAGTTGCTGTACATCTTCCTGGGCGGGCCAACTAGCAACTGCACGGCACTCTGCACGAAAAAAAGGGGGAGTGTGCTCCGGTGTCCGGAGTCTCAAACTCGCAGTCTCCGGAGTCAAACCACTCGTAGTCTCCGAATCGATGAGCCCTCCATGCAGCGTTGGGAATCAACGGTGGCTTCGTCCAAGGCTGTCCCAGTGGTGAGACGGACGGACCGTCCGTACCTTCGATCCGGTGAGGGTCCTGCCGGTCGGTCGGTTTAGCAGTGGACCCCCCCAATCTGTCTTGGACCTCGGCTGTGCCATCGATTTGGGGACATTCACGTTTGTGTCACACCAGCAGGGGTTTGTCTACGATCTGAAGATGTACTTCGGACAAGGTGCCAAAATGATCCAAAATGACTCTCCACTAAGCAACCGAACATCACCGGAAGTTCCATTTGGCACCTTCTACACGCTACATCACGCTACCCCCCCCCCCCCCCCCCCCCACGTTCCAAGCCCAAGACCCTCCCCCTTCGCTCGCCCGAGGGGCGTGATGTTCGCAAGCCTGAAGCCGAGGTATGGCTCCAGCCCACAACTCTAGCTCAGGAAGAGCGTGTAGCTCTCTAGACTCTACATGTCACCGGCTTAGGCATTTTTTGGAGAAACACTGACACCAGTCTGCTCCTCACCACTGACTGGTGTGACGAAAGCAGGGAATGAGGGAATGAAATTGAATAGAGCGATTCCTTTGGATCCATTCCCCATTCCCATTCGAGTTGCAACATGGGCTCCCAGTTTTATCAGCTGCCCCAACAGTCGTGTGGTGGAGCATTTTCAGCTGGAGGGTGTCACCCGATCTTTTCATCTTGGACCCGATCTTCGCATGAAGAACCTGCCGGATTCGTGAAACCGAAGCATTTAGGAAACACCCAAACGACCGGTGTTGAAAACATCTGCTTTGAGGATGGGCCCAACACAAGTAGCCGCCCCTATTCGTTACTACAGAACACTCCTTCTTGTGTCCATGCTTTGAAGCAACCTCCCGATGTTCCCAAAAGCTGCTGTGAGAGACCAAAACTGTGTTAGAAACTCACACTTCGGGTCTACGTGAACTTGATGTCTTCTCAGGTCCATCTTCTTCCCCAGTTCTTCCACGCAACACCGTTCAACTCACGACCACGAGTCGCTTACACTCCTGAAACAAGCCTTGGAAGTGGAAAAATGCAAAATGCACCCATTTTAAGACAATGTTCCTCTACAAAAAGGGGGTTGTCTACTTCTGTGTTTGTTAGAGGGAGGATATCGATCAGCAGGATCAGCTACAGAACCACTAGACTCAACAAGTGAACTCAACGACTCTACGTTTTCCTCGCTCAACGGGTGTTTCGTCCCCAGTCCGGCCACCTCTGCTCTACACCTCTGTGCCGGGCGAGCGACGGAAATTCTGTGATGGAGTTGTCACTGCCATAGTCCACTTTCAGCGATCGGAAGTCCGACATCAGCTGGCAGTGCGTGTCCACGTACTCCTTCAGCGGCTTTTTTCGGGGGGGGTAGTGAAACATGTTCGAGGAAGGGGGGGAACCTGGGGAGACAACACCTTGTCTTCATCATGCGCTGAAGATTTCCACAGCGACTCTCACCGGCTCGGATCGAGCCGGAGCTGCACCTGCGTGGCCTTTTCGACTCTCTGTCCTGGTTGGCTGCCAGCTGTGTTAGCTGCAAACCTCCCAAGAGATCCAGCACGCTATCCTGGTAGATTTGCAACCTAGGTGCTGATCCGCCCGGTGCCGCCCGCGAGTCCCAAAACGAGTCCCGGGTGCTGGACACCCTTGGCCATCCTTGCCTGAAGAACATGCCCACTCTTACGCTGGCCCCAAGGAAAATGAAACACACAGAAACGATGTCCAACAAAGGTGTTGATATGAGATTCACCTTTCTGCTCCTTTCTTTCTGTTGAGCCGCTGCGCTGACCCCAACAGTTCGTCTGTGACACTGCCACTTCCGTGGCCTCCTTGGCAAAAATCGGTACCGGACCGCCATTGGATGGACATCCCCATCCGATGATGTCTGACTATACCTCGTGTCAAGCGACGAACGTGATCAATCCCGTGAAAGGACCTCAAACGCGGGGGAAGCTTGACGAGTGAGGGAGTTCTGCATGGCGCGGGTGCGGCGTGCGTGCGGCGTGCGTGCGATCCCTGACCTTTTCTCCGATTCGCCTGTGCGCAATCTCCGGTTCATAGATTCCTCTGTTCGGCGGCTCTATTCGGCTTGAGCAAGGAAGTGTGAGGGACTTGGAGGGGATCAGCTTGGACCTCGAGGTTCAAGGGGCATTTTCTGTGAACATGTTTCCTCTATAAAACTGGAGATTTTACTCTTGATCTCTTGATCTATGTCTAGAGCTACAAGATATATTTTATAGACGAGGAGTCTTTAAAGTTTAAAGCACTAACATCATCAACATCTAGCAATTTCACCACCCCTCCTAGCACGTCCATTTGCTGCTGCTTCGCTTCCCTCTCCAAGTCCCTCTCAGCTGCCCCTCATTCTGTAGCTCGGCCGCCCACTGCCGTTGCCATCAGGCCCACTGCCGGCCCCACTGGATCTTCCGGCACACGGACTGCACCATTGAGGAGAGGTTCCGACAGAAGCGGCCTTGCTCCTGGATGATTTCGTCCTAGGCGGTGACGTCGAGGGTCCGAGGTTTCTGGCTGTGAAACCGTGCGAAGAAAGGAGGAGCTTTCGGGAGCATTCACCCAACCAACCCAATATGTCGCTCGGAAGCTGGCACTTGACCACGACGAGCCTGGGTGGTTGCCTGCGAAAAACCTATGGCATTCTATGGCACTTTACGGGCCCAAGCTGTGCGACCAAAATCATGATGTGCCTGAAAACACCTGAAATTCTTAAGTCATGGTCGAAACCCAATACCGTATCTATCCGTACCTGCTAGCTGCTAGGTGAAGCCCTGAGCTGTGATCGCGCGACACGGCGTCACGGCCGAGTCCCGGCCGAGGCTCCACCTGTCGCAGGGCCTTCAAAGCGTCCCTGGGCGCCAACTGTAGCAAGCTGGCCTTGGCTCGTACGTCGATCTCCATGCCCGCCAAGCTTTGCAAACGGGCCAACTCATGTAGCACCTCCTGCCAGGGCTGCTTCAACTTCTGAGTGATGTCACTTGGATATCGGGAAGAATCATTCGAACCCATAAGACTCGGGAACCCAAACTGGCAAAATACATCGCGTGGAAGCCGATGTCGCTACGACCCTTGGAACTGGCGATGATGTTACGACAGGTCTGTGTGGGTGATTCACTGCGGGTTCCAAGAAATTGCTAAAACTTCAATCCAAGTTGCACTTTGGATGGATCCAAGGTACCGCATGATACCTCTCTGCAGCAGTTGCTACTAGTACTAGTGGTAATATACAATGTAATGTAATTACAAGCTATACTTCCTGAAGCTGCGGAAGAATATGCTTATACTTGCATCTACTTGTTATCTATATCTCACACCAAGGTTTATATTTGGTGCCCAGCCGGTTCAGTGGGGGATTTGATGCCGATCCTTTGGCGATGAGTTCGATCTTCTCCGTGTCGAGCCAGCCCCGCGCCTCTTCATCCTCCTGGCCTCGCTCCTGTGGATGAGCATCCGGCTCATAGAGTTTCTTGTAGAGGTCCTGCCATGCGGACCGTCTTTTGGCCAAAGGATGCGTAGAGGATTGGTGTTCAGTTCCCTGGGCCTGACCGCATCCAGCAAGATCTATGTCTCTTGCCTTTCTGTTCGATGAATCCACCACCAACATCACCAACTCCTTTTCTCAGGTCGGACATGACCTGACACACCACCACCGGGACCGACCGACCTGGCGACCTGCCAAACGTCGCCTGCAGCAAGGTCTCGAGTGAGGTCGCGGTGGAGCGCGTCTGCGAGCCGGCCCTGGTGCTGGCGTTCGAGATGTAGTTCTCGTTGCGGCGCGTCTCGTCCTGAAACGCGGAAGCCGCGTGTTCAGGACACGAGGCGCGGAGGCGGGGAAGCGAGCGGGCGGGAGAGGCGTGAGCGGCAGTGGTGGAGGATGTGGAGGGGGAAATGGCTGGAAAAAGACTCTCTGAACCGACCACTGCAAACTTCTGAGCTGACCAACGCGAGGCAGCAGGGTCGGCAGCTCACTTCCAAATGATATTGGTTTTTGTATGTTTTTGTCTTGCCGGACGCACTGTGGACAGTGACTGTGGGGCTGGCAATGTCCCTGAATCAAATCGCACCTCACATGTGAGAAACAACTGTCACTATGTTGAATCTTCATTGATAGCCCCCAAACGATTCAATTTCACGATGTCTGACAATCTCCTGACATGTTTTCAGACTGCTATAGATTGACAGGGGCCAGCACCTATTGGGATTCCAACCGCAGCTTGGTGTGGCCATGCGGCACATGCAGCGGAGCCCTCCTGGAAGCCTCTCACCAATTGCTCAACTTCTGTCTGTGGGACTGCGTACAACTCCTTGGACGCCAACGCTGCCAATGCTCCCTACCACAAGAAGGGGAATGCAAAGAGATCATGCCAGGACGATCGTTTCCAATGCACTTGACTTATAGATGATGATAGAAACAGGAACCGGGAATTCGGAATTCGTGGTTGATGAGCAACTGCTCTGTGGCTTGTGAGTTGCCAAGGTTTGTTCTGGATAAGCAAACCTCTTTTTGTGGAACTTGTTCGTACCATTTGTGGAGATGACTCTGGCTGTGGCATCGGTAATTGACGTGCCCGGCAACGGAGGTGTTACTATCGGTAGGTCGGGCAACCGTTCTGCTCTATTCTGCCCAGCCGACAAAGTGGCGTGCTTTCAGGAGAAATATGGATAAACCCCTTCAACCTGCCTCCGGGGTTGGCGGTTTGACTCGTCCGGCTGAGCTCAGAGCTAAAATCTGCTGCTTGGCCCGCACCTAGCGCTGCCCGGCTTCGACGCGAGAGGGCGGGCAGGAGCCTCTCTAAGCTCCAAGCTGTGGATGCAAGAAGGGATGTCACGTGATCAAACGTAGGTGTCTGATGGTGTCTGAAGAGCGGAAGGGGATATCAACCAGGTGCCATGGTCCACACAGAGTTCATGCACAAGCGCGGGAGAAACCGTGTTCCTATGAGTTCCCGCATGCTTGGGGGAACCCATGTTCATCCTCTGATGTAGAACTAGATCTGTCTTCAGGACATGCACCAACTTGATACAAGTCAACTTGCAGGACATACATTGCAGCATACACTGTCTGTCTACTAGTTACTAGTTGCCACGACTCCCTGATCATCAGCTACATGCCCTGCCGGGGAAGCCAATATATAGTAGATCATAGTAGGTTCCCCAAAAAGAAAGTTGCTTCCAAAAAGTGCAGGCATGTTGAGGTGCATCATACATAGTGAGTCTCCACCACTGTTGCTCCTCCATCTCACTTACACCAAGCAGTCTCCACCAACCTCCACTCCACCGCTGCTCCCAGGAAGCAGCCCCTGCTGCTCGCCTCGATCCTCCGTCGCTGTTGCTCAGCCTCCACCAGCGCCGCCAGGCGTTGATTCTCCGACTGCAAGCGAGCCTCGGTCGGACGCGGCCCCCTGGAGCGCACCTGGAGCACCCGAGAGGGGAGGTGTGTTGGAAAGCCTCAAAAGAGAAGGTGCGTTTGGGATCATGGACGCCAAACAGTGGGAGGGCGATGGATCTGTGTAAGAAGTGCATCTTTACTGCCCCAAATAGCTTGGCCCCAAAATCGGTCAGGAACCTCCAACATCTGATCCATTCTGGTCCCCCGTCTTCATCCATCTTCCCCTCCTCCCACCTGGCCAAGCCACAATCTTGGCCTCCAACTCTGCCCTGGCGGTCGTTTGTGGGCGAACCTCCCCACCGGTGCCGGCGCTCGTCTCCGCCGCACTGCCGGTGCCCTCCGCCGCGCTCGCCGCGTCCGCCACCGTGCTCGGTGGCCCGGCGGCCGCCGCGGCCGCGAGCGCGGCCGCGCTGGGCACGGGCTGCGCGTGGACCCCGACGGGGCTCATGGGGACGAAGAAGGTCACGTTGCCGCAGGGCCACTGTTCTGACCAGGCGGTGTTCTCCCAACCCCACTGGCCATCCCAGCACATGCTTCCATCATAGCCATAGCCCATGCTGTCTGCCATGGTCACGGCCGGTCCGATTGAAACAGTGGTGTTCAAAAGTCTCGAGATACAAGTTGCGATGACATCTCTATATGTTCCCTTTCTGCAACGTTCTGTCCAATTGAAATCTGCGCGAGGAAAACCAACTTTTTCGGCATCATACCCCCCAATTGTTCCATGTGTCGCAGAACTTCAATGCGCATAGCCCGCAAAAACGGATGTGGACACAGCTCCTGAAACAGCTGCGAGCATCTGATGGTTCTCAAAGTTGGTCAGCCACATTGGTCAGTGCTACCACTTACCACTTGCTTCTGATACTCCTGCACCCAGTGGGTATACTGAATTCATGTGGAAAACATTGGAAAACAGGACAATGTGTTGCTTGGGTTCCGCTCGTGCTTCCATGAAACAAAGAAGCTCTGTGACATCGCGGTCAAAGACTCCTGATCAGATCCTTCTTTGGGCAACAGAGTGTGCCCCGGGCGGGTGGAACAGTTCCAGTTCCAGTTCCAGTTCCACGTCGTCCAACACAGGAGACTGGGGAGGGGGCAGGGGAGTTCCAGTTCCAGTTCCACGTCGTCCAACACGGGAGACGGGGGAGGGGCAGGGGAGTTCCAGTTCCAGTTCCAGTCAGTTTAGCGTCGACAGTTCCAGTTGGAGTTCCAGTTCCAGTTCTGGGCCCGGGTCTGGACGTGATTGCCAACGTCAGTTTAGCGTCGATGTTTTTTTCCGGGAGGGGGTGGAGTTCCAGTTCCACTTCCAGTTCCAGTTCTGGGCCCGGGTCTGGACGTGATTGCCAACGTCAGTTTAGCGTCGATGTTTTTTTGGGGGGGGGGGGTGGAGTTCCAGTTCCACTTCCACTTCCAGTTCCTCTTCCAGTTCCAATTCTGGGTCCGAGTCTGGACGTGAGGACCAATGTCACTTTAGTGTCGATTGTATTTTTTTGCGGGGGGGGGGGTCCAGTTCGAGTTCCAGTTCCAGCGGGGTACACTATGTTGGGCAACGAGTCTGGTGGATCCTCCTTGCAATGGGATGAAATGCCTCGGAGTTCTTGGCTCAATTTTGGACATGCCTTGAGGCCCTTCATACCAAAATCATGCAACCAGCTTAGACCCGGGTCTTGCAAGCCTGGTGCTTGATGGGCTCACCCTGCAGAAGGGCCTACCAATGGAATTCAGAAAGACTCGACAGACGGCTCCACTCTGTCACCTCAAAGCTCGACCAAGACGGGAAGCATGGAGACCCCCGTGAATCAGACGGAAGGCTTGCTATGGTCGATGGGGGATCTAGTCAGGGAATGCGGTCCCTCAATGGTTTTGGGACATGCCCCCTTTGGCGGGCGACTGCCTACTATGCCATTGCCCATCATTGCCACTACCTCACGACTTCCTGGCCAAGCAGCAAAGCGGCTTTTCTCCTTGGGTGGAAGAATCTGACCAAGGCCACCCCATAAATGACCACATGGACCGCTAAAGTGGGCCCTGTGGTCACGGTGCATGTTGGAGGCAGGTGATCTAAGACATGTTCTGCAACAATTGGGGCAGGCAGGAGACAAAGGAAGGCACATCATCTGTGTTGGTGACCAGTGCATTTGGTGACCAGTGTACCGGGTGAATGCTTGGCATCACATCATCTACGGTCTCGGGCCTCCACCTAGAGGAGAGAGTCGTTCACTGAATTTCTTTAAATTCCGTGGCATCCCGGTCCTTGCAGTCTCCAACAAAGTGATCCGAGTCGCAGGTACCATCTTGATCATCCTTCAGCCGAACTGTGGCCTAATCCGCACCTAGGACCTAGAATCACTTAAGCAGCCTTGGTCTGTCATCGCCGCAAGCCAGAGGATATTGAAGCTTATTGTGCGTATAGCGCCTGGTTCCCCAAAAAAGATCTTGTGATGAAGTTTGACTACAACAGGGGGCTCGTGGCTTGAAAGAAGCAGGTGGCCGACCATGTTTTAAGCACCACCAACATCGTAACAAGGAAGTCTTGGAACGCAATGTTCTTTGATACTCACGATATATATATATATAAATATATAGCTCTACAAATCTCTACAATACAGATTTATACGGATTTACTCATATAAGAGAAACCACGCATCAATTGTCCAATGCACCGACCAGGGATCTCTCTCTCTCTCTCTCACCATCCCAAATTAGGGCTTTAGCACAGCTGTCCGCACTTCGGGAACCTCCCCGCACCCGTTGCTGTTCGCCGTTCCGGTCCGCCGGCCCGACTTCTGCCCGGCGTCTCTTCTTCTCCCAGCTCGTTGTCCGACACCACGCCTCCGCGAGCTCGGTGGCGGCGCGGCGCCCCGCGGGCACGCGGGGCAGCATTCACAGCGTGGAGGAAAAAATGCACGAAAAACTGTGTTTGCTGGTCTTCTGTACTGGTCTAGGCGCAACTGGAACAAATCCACCACCAAAGCAGTGCCTTTCAGGGAAGGTGCGACAATTGTTCTACACCACCTGGCGCTAGGATGTCCTCTTCCAAGGTATTTTTTGTGAAAGCATTCCGCATGAGATGGGGTTTGGGTGGCCGAAACACCTTCGCCCGATTCGCCGTTGATGCCTCCCTCAGGCGTATCAGCTCAGAGTTCACAGACTTCGAAGACTATGGAGCCTATTCTGGTTGATTAATCCCAAAATCCCTGTATGCTCACCAGCTACCCAACAGGAACCATGACGTATATACTTATTATATACCGTGCTAGCTGCTAGCTGCTAGCTGCTAGCTTGATCCTTCAAAGTTCGTTGCTTTGCTTTGCACCTTCGCCAGGCACCAAGGAAGAGTGGTTTTCTTGCTGCCGAGGTGCCATGCATGGTGAACCACTGCATGCGAGGTGTGGGAATTTGCTCCCTGGAGCGGCAGGCCCAAGGCAGGTCGAAATCCACCCAAATTGATTTCGTTTTCGGACTTCTTGAGATCGAGCGGCTGGTTCTTTACGGAACGAGATCCGCTCCCACAAGACCCGCAAGACCTGGCACAAGTCCTATAAAGCCCCGTGCTCCCAAACCAACGAAAACGGATGAAGATTTTGTCCGGAATTTGTTTTCAGGCCGTTTCCAGACCGGGAATTCTTTTCACGTCTACTGCTTTTGCTTTTGCTTCTGCTGGGAGTGCCCCAGAGACAACCGCAAAGAAGTCCTTATAGTAAGTGGGATACCTTTTCTGTTCCCTCCCTTTGTCACTGTCTCGCTCTCTCCGTCACGCTGGCTTTGGTGCTTCGTCCCCTGCCCTTTCTGCTGCTCCTAGTGCTTGTAAAGCACTCCCAGCAGAAGCAAAAGCAAAAAGCAAAAGCAACACCAGTACGGGAAAAAATGTGAAGCACAAGAATATAGCAAAAGCAGAAGCAAAAGCAAAGGCAGAAGCAAAAAGCAAAAGCAGAAGGAAAAGCAAAAAGCAAAAGCAAAAAGCAAAAAGCAAAAGCAGATGCAGAAGCAAAAGCAAAAAGCAAAAAGTTGAAGCAAAAGCAGAAGCAGAAGCAAAAAGCGAAAGCAGTAGGGAAAAAAACGCGAAAAACAAATCCGGGGAAAAAAAAAAGAAACAAATTCCCAGAGAAATACCGGCTTCAATGAAAACCTGACCCACAATAGTGGCAGTACCCAGTACGTGACCTAGAAAGGTATGAGAAAGCTATTGAGCACCGTTTTATCCATGTTCATCCTTTGTTATTCATGGCATGGGCATCCACACTGCTACTGAGAAGCTCCCTCCAGCAAATGAAGGCAGAGAACTGGTGCATTTGCGTTGGGCTTCAGGCCCTTCAGGCCTTCTGGGGATTCCCGAAGCTGTCTTTGAAAACCAGCTGCGGGATCCATCCCCCAAACCCCAAACCCCACACCTACCAGCAGCCTCCTAAAACCAAAATCACCACGTACCATCGCTTTTTGGATGAGACCGCCAAAACCGCCCGCTCTGCTCTCCGCTCCGCCTCAGCTGTTGTCGTCCCGGTCGCGGACCCGGCTCGGCGCGGTCGACGGCCCGGCTGGGCGTCACCGGCATGTCCTGAGCGGTCGCGGTCCGCGGCCGCGGACCGGTCAGCTCAAGTCGGGCATCCAGGACGTTGATAGGTACTGATCTTCTACGGAAAAACAATCTGCAGAGTGGAAGATGGATGGAAAATGACCCAACTATGCTGCTTACCATCCCCTTTCGATGTGCCTAGGCCATGCCATAACATACCACCTCTAAATCCATCTCTCGGTCCTCCCGCGAGAAGGAGGAAAAAAACCCGCCCGCTCCGTTCCAACACCCACCCGCCACCGAGCCGCAAAGGGGTCGGCGACCACGAAGCGCGGCGAGCCACCAGGCACCACCGAGTCGGTGGAGAGTTGGACGATGTGAAGGTTTTCCGTGGTTTCCTCCTTGCAGCCCTAGGGCTCCAACCACCTCCTGAGAAGGTGGTTGGGGTGGGTTTTGGGGGTCTAACCACCTTCTGAGGATATGGTTGGAGCCCTAGGGCAGGATCGTGCCCCAACGCATCGCGCCCCAAGCGCCCAAAGCGCCCATCGATGGTTCGGCGGCGCAGGGAGCTGCGAGGCGAACCATCCCAGTGGATGGGTGGCAAAAGGACCCCCCAAACGAAACGCACGCGGGAAGCGTGCGGGTGCATAATATGTTTCTCCAACATCGGGTCTGGTTTTGGAGCGGGGCAAGGGGAAAAGCACGATCTCAGTTGGTACCGGATTTCTTCAAATAGGATGCACGGCAAAGATTTCTTCAAACAGTCTGCTCAGCCGAGGGACAGGCATGCACAGGTTGAAGGAAGAAAGGAACGGACCAAGTCGTGGACATGCCAGACACAGAGAAGAAAACAACTATATACCATTGCAAAGAGAGAAATTAGTTGTTTGGATGAATGGATCTTTCAAGCATCCCAGCAAATTTCTCAGAGATGAGGAATGGAACGAAACTAATGAAACCATCGGTTTTTGCAGAGTCAAAATATGTCAAAATGGGTGCCTCACTGTCTGTTGGTCATCATGGTCATCAACGTGGTTCACAACTTGAGATCCATTCTGCAAAAAGGGCGCAGTAACCTTTTGAGCTTACAATATCAGCACTACTATGTTAAGTAACATGTTGATTCTTAATCAGGGTATCAGGGCCTTGCCAAAACCAACTGCACACGTGTTCCACCTCTTCATCTGCCAGCTCTCCCTCTCTCTTCACCGTCTATCGTTCAACGGAGCTGCGACACCTGCTGCACATCCTCAGACTTGAACAGCCCCATCTTCAGACCACCGTGATGACCAGACCAACCTCGACCTTCCATCCCCCAGGTCACCCAAGCCCAGGCACCCAGCAGCAGCATGGCATGATGCCCAGTGCATTGGACAAACTCCGGACCCAGCTCATGGCTCGCCCTCTGCTCGATGCACAGATGCGCGCTTTGGCTTCGGCTGGCTTTTCAACGGCGTACCCGGCCGGGACCCGCTCGGAGGGTGGTGGTTGCGGTGGTCTGTCGTGGCCCTTCACCATGCAGAAAGTCACAGGAATGTGTCAATCAATCATGTACGCGCGGGTCTGCTATGAAAGATGCCACAAACGTTCTACATGTTCCTTCTGCTCCTCTCTCTCTCTCTCTCTCTTTCTCTTTCCTCCTGAAGTCTGTAGTCAGACCCGTCAGACCCTGATCAGAATCGATGAGAACTCCTGCCAATCCGTTTCTTCATGTCTTTCAGCCCCAAAGGTGCCAAGTTTGCTGAATCATGGCGGCGGTACTATCCTACCATCCTCGGGGCCAAGAAGGGGCAGCGGCTGAAGCAGTGGCTGAAGCGGAGCTTGCCTGCGGCTGTGCTATCACACCATGGAAACGCCCTGCACCCTGCACCCTGCGGCACCCCGCAAACCCAAGGAACACACAAAAGTCACAAAGCAGTAGCATTGAAAAAATTTGATCTTTAAAGGCAGCTTGCTCTCTGACTGTCTTTCCCCATCCTGCATGGTGCTTTTGGCTACACCAATCCGAAATCCCCGCGCAAACGGACGGCTTTCGGCGGCCTCCCCTCTTTTCGCATAAGCGGCTCCCATCCTTCCGCGGCAACTAACCTACCTGCCGGCCGGCCACCACCAGCACCATGCTGCTGAGTGACAACCCTCAGGCAGCGCCAGCACTGCTCTCTTCGCAGGCCACGCACGGGGGCGTTCTCCCCCCGCAGGTCAGGGATGACCCGGCAGACATCAAAACGACCCCGCTTCGACCCCGAAGACTCGAAGACTGTGTCGGGCCATGTGTTGCTTCTGTCTGGATCTAGGACAGCGCATGCGCTAGTGCATCATCTCTGCTTCTTGCTGACACGTCTCACCACCCCAGGAGTTGCCAGAAGATTGTGAAACAATCCATTGAATCAAAGTCCAACGACTCTGTTTGGACCAATGTTCCTTCCTTCCAATGGTCCAATGGTCCAAACAAGCATGCGCTAAACAAAGCAACGAGCACATCAGGGTCTGCGTCCTTTCGAGCACATGGAGCAACTCCTGTTCGTGTGGGCTCTGAACCGTTCGGGGCCGTCGCTTGCGGTGGAAGGTCGCGAAAGCGGTGGAAGGTCGCTCCTGGCGGAAGGGCGGAAGGGCACTGGGCGCAAGAGACTTCCTTGGGCTTGGATGGTTGAGGAAGTCCAAGTTGAAAGGAAAACTACTACTAGTAACTAGTAGCTCCTGGCATGGTCTTTCTCGGCTTGCACTTTTTGTGGGAACCGAGGTGCGTTGTTCTGACAGTCAACCTCTCAGCGGACTGTCGTTCACCAATGTTCTGCAACTCTTGGGCCTTCACCCCGTGATGGCCAGAAATTTGCCGCTCATGCTGATCCCAAACCACGTAACCAGGCAGGAGCGACCTCATCCCATCACACCACCTGCGCGGAACAAATCACAAATCAAACAACTCACTCACTCACGAACGAACGAATGAAGCAATACAAAGGAGCTTGTGTTAAGTATCGTACATCATCTCGTAGAGGAATTAATTATAGCTATCCAGTCGATGTTTCCGGGTGGAGCTGCATTCGTGCCCCTCTACTCCCCTCCCTGAGCCGAAAGAGAAAAACCATGTCGCCAACACCGGCGGTGGATGGCGATGGGAAGCCCCACCCGCGTCGCGCAGCTACGGTGGCTCAAAGCTTGTAGCGTTCAAGTTCTCCGTAGTTCACCCCACCTCCAAGTGACTTGCTCCAACCCTCCCATCCCGACTCTCCACTCAGCTCCCTCCACCCCAGTCTCCCCGGTCCCGGTGCCCCACCGGTCCCACCAGGGCCTCCAGAAAGACGGTCCCGGCATTGCCGACCGAGGTGGCCCAGCCCACGTGGCCGTCCGAGCGGCACTTGCACTTCAGCCGCAGGAGGCCAGACCTGCGGAGGGAGACGACGGTCTTCGGAGCCGTCTGGACCGTCTTGGCAGGCGGAGGGGTTGGAAGAGGCAGCAAGTTTGGGAGTCTGAGAGTGTTGGCAGGTAGGGGGTATAGAACAGTTATACTCGAGTTAGTATGTATATGTGTACAGTATATGATACGTTGAAGCCTAATTTTGAGGGCCGAATCCCACTTGAAAGAACATATGCGAGAACAAAATTGCAGGTTCGTAATGTGGACTTGTCCATCTTTCCGAAAGCCAGCAGAGACCCTCATGGCTCCCATAAGCAGGGTATGAGCTTGCAAGGCTTCGTGGGGAACCCAATCGGTTGAAAGACGTACATGTTTCAATAAGTTCAAGACGGAAAAACACATTCTCATTTGCCCACCAATTTGATGGTTTCCAGCTCAAGTTCCAACCCTTTTGGAAAACATCTGCCAACCCTGGCGACCCCTGAAATGGCTCACGTTCGATCTGGCTCACGCTGAAGATGAGCAGGCAAACGGGGTTGTTTGGAGGAGTCACCAGGAAGGGGAAACACCTGGAGTTCGAGCCGGACCCGAAGCTGATCAGAGCTGTCGTCTCTTGAGAAGAGAAGAAGGGTGGGATCGTGAACAACAACCCATCTGAAATCATCTGAAGATGTATGATGATGTATGTCATTGGGATGACCTGTTCTGAAGTTTTTTTCATACATTTTTTGGACCAAGAAAGTTGAAAGCGCCAATCACATCCAATCGCCCCCAAGCACATCCAATCACCAGCACGTCTTAGGCCCAGATGCTTCTCTTTCTTGGGCCACACCCACACGTCCACCAGCTCCCCCAGCTTCAGCTTCCGCGGGGTCGCATCCTTCCTGGGTCCAACGCAAAAAATACCACCGACTTGGTAGGTGAGTGGGCCCTCATGGTCACTTTTGGCATGGCTAATTTGTGTCGTTTCGCCTGTTGACATTGGCATGTGACACATTGCAGGCCATAAAAGCAACCATCTTCGAAGCATGCTTCGAAGACAGGGCCATCTCAGCCAAACCAACGAGCCAATGAGAACGATTGACCGACGAACGTTCATTGCTGCACTGGTGAAGCTCGACTTCCAGTCCTTTCCGTTCGTTGTTGAGAGAGGCCGAAGAGAGAACGCAAGTGTACTTCACCCCCATCTCATGTTCCCTTCCGAGCCACGCCCCAACTAGTTATGTCTTATTATTACCTCCCCACCTCCAGCACAACCCCTCTCCATCCCGGGCCATACCATACTGCCTCCCCCACCGCCCCATGGGTGGCCCTGGCAGCTGCTTGGCAGCTTCCTTGGCCTCCGCGGAGTCCAACTCAAAGGTCTCCGTCATGATGGTCTCCTGCCCACCGAACCCCCGCACCGAACCCCGGCCCATGGGATGCCGCGAGCGGTGCGATGCTCCAGCGTGGCGAGCAAGCCAACGGTGTCGAAACGATCAGGCTGGAAACGGGAGGCAAGCCGGTAGGGTTGCACTGCAGGAGGGCATGAGGATGACTGTGTAGGGCCAAAATCATGCCAAGTCTACACTTAAATACATCACATATGATGGAAGTGCATGGCCCACCCTGTTCGTAGAGGAAAATTGTCATCCAAGAGTCGATTCTCATCCATTTTCCACTTCCAACGAACGTAAGTAGGCTTGTCTAAACGTGTAGATCGTGTACACTGTATACGCCGCGTTTGGGCAGTACACCGCCCCTCTCATCTTGGCAAACATCCACCAGACTTTCCGGCTCCGTCTCCAGGCCCAGCGCGGTCCTTGACCACCTTGTAGACCCCTGCGTAGTCCTTCACGAACGGTGTTCCACCATTGCCTCCGCCCATCTGGACCGTTTGGACCCCGACCCCTTCTGACCCAGCGGCTCATGGCCCGTGGCACTTGGTAGAAAGGGGCGGCGAATCCCCACGTGCGCCATAGAGTCAGAGAGCCTGTGAATGGTGGTCTTCAAGTTGCCCCATCACGAGCCCGCCGCAATTCCTCACTTGGTGGCCGAAACCCAAGTGACCCTTCGTGCGACGCTCCTGACACTCTACGCCCAAATGCACTACATGCCTCACCGTTTCATGTGGTGTCATTGGAATTCCGTCCTGTAAGGAAACCCTCGTTGGATGTCGTATATTAGAGACGCAGAGACAGAGATTCCTTGGAGTCTTGGACCAAACTGGAACAACATTTTACCTTGGCACCAGTCGAACTTGGACTTGTTGACTCATTATGGAGATCTTTCACAATTTGACCATCCATGTACGTACCTACGAAGCCTGTCTGTGAGGCTTTGTTCATCAACAGTCAACACGCATGATCTGTCAGATGCGCGCCTGCCACAGTGACCCAGCCCTCCTTGTCATCCTTCATGGTGCGGCATCGTGCTCGCACCACTTCCTCAAGGGATCTCAATAGGCGGATGCTGGTTGTGCCGACGGACCGGGAGCGTTGGTTCTTCAGGACATTCGTGCGGACACTGTCAGGGTGTGGAGAAGTTGACCACACGGCCATGAGATGCCATGAGCATTTTGATACACAAACGTTGAAGTTCACCGCTACCCCAATTCAATACCACCTTCTTGCTTGCGGAAGTTCGTTTCCGTCGCCTACCGTCAGCACGACCCGTGCCGAACCACCAACTCAAGCATCTCACCGTAAAGCCATGGCACCATGGCCCCTACAGTGAGCCCGCAAAGCTCGACGACCAACCCTGACATCCCCTATGAAGATTTATGAAGCACCACCCCAAAACCTTCAGCTCGTTCCCCAAACCCCACCCAAATCTGGTCCAACGATGACACGCAGAAAGGGTGAGAAACATCCATCTTCCTTGGAACCCTCCCGAACCAACTCATCACGTCGTTGACCTCTGCGCCATTCGTCGCCATTCGTCGCGCAATGTCGCCTCCTCGACCGGGGTCTCTGGGCTGATCAGCTCTATGATCTCGCCCACCTGCAGGTTCCCAGCC